CGAAGTGGCGCTGGAACAGGGCAAGCGACGGCCCAGGGCATAATCGGCGATGTTGAGGTATTCCAGCAGACTGGATCGGGATCCGGAGTGAGGAGACAACGGGGGGGGGGGGGGAGGACGAGCGGGGAAGCATACTGGGGTCAGGTGGGGCAGGATGCGACGAGAGGCAGAGAGAGAGAGAGAGGGGGGGGGGCAGGGGGGCATCCGGCAGGGACAGGCCGCGCACCCTCCTCGGGGGGCATCTCGCAAAAGCGCCGGTAGCTGTCAATGGCCCCGGCCAGGAGGGCAATCTCCTCCGGGGGGGCATGGCCATCGAGCGAGGCCAGTGCAGCCTGGAGCCCCGCCCAGTCGGGTGCACAGCAGGCTGGGGACCCGAGCGAGGTGTGGACATATTGGCCCGGGCCCCAGAGAACTGCCCGGCCGAGGACCGGGGGCTGGGTCAAGCCGGGCGTGTGCCGCAGGGGGTACCGGAGGAGGCGTTGGCTCAGACCGACGATGGTCCCAATGGCCGGGGGGGCCGAGTTTGGGGAGGCCCCCATCATGAGCGCCAGGTTCCCGGCAATGTGCGTATTCACCAATCCGGCCGGGAACAGGAGCCAGGCGTGGTGCGCAGCCCCATCCGGACGGGCGATGGTCGCCGGGAGGAAATTCACCCGGCCAAGGGAGAAGGCTGTGCAGAGGATGGCACGGTCAGGCGGCTGCACCGCGTGCGAAGGACCTGCATGTGGAGGAAGAAGGGACAAACAAGAAAGCATCCCCCCCCCCCCTCCCTCGCCCAGACACACACACACACACACACACACACACACACACACACACACACATGGAACCGGGCGGGGGGAGGCAGGCGCGTGTCAACAGGCCACATACCGGATCTATCGCTGGAGCACAGACGACGAGCAGCAACCCGGATGGCCGCCTGCTTCGGCGGGTGCGAGCCGCTGTTAAACCACCGGAAGACATGCAGCAGGGCATCGGCCGCTTGGGTGCCCTCGGGCGGCATGGCGCCCGGCATGACGGTGTCCGCCGGTGCGACGGCCCCGGCAGGCTGGCGCGCAGTCGGAAGCAGCAGCCCCACCGGCGACAGGGCGGCCCCCTCGGCCGCTGGGTCGCAAAGGATGGCATGAGACCGGAGAAAGCCGGTGGCCTGGCGCTCGGAAGCCAGACGCCAGGCCTGGTGCTCGGCAGCCATGGCCAGCAGCTCGGCTCGCTGGCCGGGATCCGAGTGGGACAGGGGCCGGCCATCGCCGCGGCCGACAAGATGGATCCCGGCTCCGGGCCCATGCTCCGGACGACGGGCAGGCCCCTCGGCGAGGGCTTCACGCACGCGGACCCGATGGTACGCCGGGTTGTAGTTGGAGGGATCAATGGCCCATGGGACGTCGGCCGCCAGGCAGGTGGCCTCGCACTCGGCCTTCGTGAAGGGCAGCATCGGCCGGACCAGGCGCAGCTCCCGGAGCAGGCGGGCAAGCCGCTTGGGGCACTCGCCCGGAGGGCCACCCGGCGTGAGGGGAATCTCCGGCGCTGGGGCCACCGATGGCAACATCGGCAGCGGGGCCAGCGCAAACATGCCAGCCAGGCCGTGCTGGGTGGCGTGCCTGATCGCCGGCAGCCAGGCAGTCAGTGATGCTGTGCGGGGATCGTTCGGTCGGCGGGAAGGTGGACAGGCGCACGTTTCCTGGCGGATGGAGATGGTCTCGGCCTGATCGTCGGCATGGTGCCCGGTGAGGATGTACCGGATGCCGAGAGCAAGACAGGCGCCTGGCAGACCAGCCCAGAAAGGTCAGTCTGGGGGGGGGGGAGAGAGAGAGAGGGGCGATATTCAGGAAGGGAGGCGAGTTGCCCAGTCGGCAGACGCACTGGACAGGAGGGAGTACCGCTTGCGTCGGGCCAACTCCTGGGTGACTTCCTCGAGCGGGGTGCCCTGCCAGTCCGCCGTAAGGGTCATATGCTGGAGTCCTGAGGTGAGGGCGAGGGGGGAGCGAGCGAGACCCAAGAATCAGCCATCTGCGGGGGGCCGCCGGAAAAAAAAAAGGGGCGGCGATAGGACGGAGGGGGAGGCAGGGAGCAGCGGCACACGCACCGGCCGACTGAAACCACCGGGCAACATGGCGTGCCTCGCGCGCACTGGTGGCCCCGCGTAGCGTGTGGTCCACGCTCAGGCCGACCACGTCCAGCCCTGCGTCGCGCGCCAGGATCGCAAGGGCCAGGGAGTCAGCGCCTCCGGACACCGCAAGGGCTAACATATTCCACACATGCCCCGTGTGCGTGTGGACCATGCGACCGAGCGTACATCGAGGTTATGCGCATGTGTGTGCGCTTGTCAGCAGACGCCAGGTGCGCCGGAGGGAGGCTCTCGGG